AATCGGCACAAAGGAATTGTTCCAACACTGAAATTGTCTGCTTGTATTCTTAATAGGGCGAACGCTCCAATGTTGCACGGCCTCCAACCCAGCCTCTTCGTCGAAGTTTAGCCACACGGCCAGGCCAAGGAGACCTGGCAGCAAGGGGATTTGGTAAGCACGACTCTACTTATGTTGCCACCCAGCCGAGGCTTTCAGATCCGTCTTAGCAAGGCAGTCTTTCCCCGAAGGCATTCTTTCCCCGTGAGCCAATAATATGGCTGCTCCCCCTGCAGTCTCGCTGTTGGAGACCTAACAGACCTAAGAAAAGATGACAATCTGACAAGGTCTCTGACCTTGTGACTTGGCATTGGTGCCATCTCTATGCCGTCTCTAAGCGGCGAGAATCCCGCGCCATCTTGCTGCCGTTGAAAGTGCCACGCGGACCGTCTGCACATCTGGCGGCTTGATCTCGCAAGCTCCCCTTCCAGTCGATGCCGCCTGCAGTGCACGCAAGTAGTCGACCGCCATCTCCTGGCTTCAAGCTTTTTCAATTCAATGTTGTGGGGGCGCAAGGGATTTTGTTTGAGGTCAGGCCTCGGCCGCAGACCGGAGCAGATCTGCTGCCTCGCCCGTCAAGCGGATGTTCGGCGGGAGCATGGCTTCGCAGACCTCAACGAACTTGTTCTTGTGCATCGCCGGCTGCCTGGACTCCTGGGCCTTCAAGATGGTGTCTTCCACACGTCGCCGATACCGCCCGTGAACGCAGACCATCGAGCTCGGCGTCTTTTTTCGGATTCGACGACAGACCTGCGAGTCCGATTTGCTGGTCTGGTCTCCATATCTGTCTGTGTCTATCTGTCTCTGCCTCTCACTGCCTCTCTGTCTCGAGTAATTGAAATAGGCTTAGAATCGAGATGCGACAGGGAAGACATATGCACAGACAAAGGGGCACACGGACGGACCGATGAAGAGATGGATTGAAAGAGCACCAAAGGGAGGGAGAGAGAGAGAGAGAGAGAGAGACAGAGACAGAGACAGAGACAGAGACAGAGACAGAGCCAGAGAAAGAGACAGACCAGCAGATATTTATTTAGTCCGCAAGTCAGCTTCACGCCTGAGCAACGGCCGCAGTTTTTGCTCTTGACCGCATTGGCCGGCCACCAGCATCCATCCAGTCGAGCAGCGGCTTGTACCTGCGACGGAGACCGGGCAGCACATCGACTGAGAACGGACTGTAACAACTCAACTGTCTGACTCATTCGATTGCTGATGAAGGTCGAGGTACTTCTTGTCGGATTTCAAGAAGTCGAGCTCCTGCGCGGGGGGCAATAAGTAGACCTCCTTCAAGCGATCCTCGAGCTCAGCAAAATCCCGTTGATCACGGTCCTGGTCAGACCAGAGGCAGCAAACACAATCTGGGCAAAGCTCTTTTAACAGCGGCAGCAGTCGTCCTCCTCGTGGCTGAAGAAAGCTGACGCCACCAGCTCACTTCTGAAGACCAGCCAGAACTCCTTCTGCTGAGACCAAGGGGCACGGTAAAACTCGGAGGAGGGAAAACCGAATCTCGTTGCGAAGGTCATATCTTCATCCAAGGCGTGGCGGTAAATGATGTGTGGCGCCCGCACCTGAGATTCGGTTTGCCAGGTTTCGGGGCTTCACGGCACGGCTCGAGTCTGTCGCTTCAACTTCTGCCAAGTGACTCCCAAGGTTGACAGCTTCAGGTCCTTCAACACCTTTGGCATGCCGGAGCAAAGACCTGAATGGGAAGCCATGGCGATAAAGACCAGCCTATCACTAGCAAGACCTCAGGAGCCAGGTTGGAAGGAACAAAAAACTTCTCCAGCCACTCTTCGCACAAATCCCGATTCATGGGTGCACATGACGCGTGGAACAGGCACGGCTCGGACGCCATTTTGACTGCGGCGGCCGTGGTTTCACATCAAAACTTTGAGATATTGCCGCCACTGCTGCACGACGCAGCGGTTCTGGGAGAAGGCCGAGGTCAACAAGTCTGCAACACGAGAAATGGGAACCTGCCGTTTCACTTCAGACTACTGTAGACCTTCCACTTGGAGACCATACTTAGTAGACCCTAGATTTTTAACCGGACCCTAGTCTAAGCACAAGTAGGACAGTCCCCGTGTTGCAGCAAGGCCTGACTTCGGACGCTGGGCTTGCAAAATGCCCAGTCACAGACCTACAAGAGACCAGTCCGGTTCTTTCAGAGGGAGGAAGCAGGCCCCCTTTGAATCTGACTGCTACTTGTCAGTCTTCAGCGGCACCAGACCCGCCACTGTCAGAGAGACGCTCCTGCTCCTCGTCCACTGACAACTTCGGCGAGGCCGTGAAAGGACTGCGGGCATTTTCGGTAGGAGCCGACTCACCTCCGAGGCTCAGCGACTTGCTGAGATGCCTGGTGGCCCTCCTGAAGCCATCGGCACGGTCTTGCACCATGTCAAGGACAATCCTCAGCAGCACCATCTCCGACAACACGGACAGAGACGTCGTGTTCCTGACGAAGCCGATGTAACGGACCTTGTCCCGTGCACAGGCCACCGCAGAGACGAGACCGGCAAAGTAGTCCTTTGTTTAACACATCCAAGCAAACATGAATCTGAACACGAAAGCCAGGCAAGCTTGACGATGCACTCAGAAGCCGAGCAGCGATGATGACCGACGTCTTCTTGGGCAAGAAGCAATGGACGATCTCGCGAGCCTGCTCCTCAGTTCCTTCCCAAGGATGAAGGGGTAGGACTGAGACCTCTGCAGTCTCCTTCTCTTCTGGGCCAGACTCCTCACTGTCCGAACGTGGAGGCTTGGGAGCTTCAGTACCGTCAGCCATAGCTTGAAGACAGTCCCGCGGCAAAAGCGAGACCATGTAGTCCTCGTCGCCCTTCAAGGCCTGTGACGCCCACCCTCTGGCCTTGTTGTTTCCTGGCAAGTCCACAAACTTCCGCTCTCGGAGTTCCAGAGCGACGTCTTTTGTCCAAATGACGGAGACGTTCTCCAGCGGCTCAGGGTTTGCACCTTTGGACGTGCCACTGCAAGACCTAGACATCCGGCGGCCCTCGAACTCCCGGTTGTGGTACAAGAAGCGAAGGTGGGAGACCGGCTCATACTTCCGAAGTCTCATCTGGCCCTGGCCTTCCTTCTTCTCGTTCTTGATGAGCTTCGTGACCTCCCTGTTGATGGTCTGGTGGTTGCGGGAGACCCTGCCATCACAGATCAAGACCAGGTCGCCTTGCACGAGGACGCCTGTCGAGCCTGGGCCCGCGTCGCCGAAGATCGTGGTCAAAGACCTCTTGAAGGCTGCGTCGTGGAGGACGGCCCTGTTTCTGTGCATGTCTTGCCCGTAGCCTTCTGGAGGAGGCCCTTGGTGCATGCACTTCGCATCGATCTTGTGCAGCCGCCCGTCTTCTGGAAGATGAAGACCTTTCAACAGCATTTGCCACTCAGTGGCATCCTCCGGCGTGACATGGAGCTGCACGTAGGTGTTTCTCCCTCAGTTGCGGATGTGCTGGAATTGAAAAACAAGTCCAATTCAAAACAATGGTCTCAGACTACCGGGCCAATAAACTGAACTAAGACACTGATGATGGCATCGTCCAGGACGTTGGCAAACTTGTTGTCGTCCGGGTTTTTGTAGATGATGTCATGCAAGAGGTCAGCCATGTGGTGCTTCAGGTGGGGGAAGGCTTGCAAACGGTCCAGGCCCTTAGTCTCCTTTGACTTCTTCTCGTCGTCTGCAGCGACCTGGTCGCCCATGTCCTCGGGGAGTTCCTCGGGGACGTCCTTGGAGACCTCCTGCGCGGCAGCCTGCAACGGAGTAGAGTTTGTGACAAGCTGAATAAACAGTCAGTTCAGCTCCAGCTGCACCCCGCCTGTTTGTCAGCCTCCGGCGGGGCGGGGATTGTCTCCGGGACCTTTGGTTGCTTCGCATCCTCCATAAGACCGACAAGAGCACGGTGATCATGCAGGCCGGCTTTCTCCAACTCCAGCAAAGCGCCCTGGTCACACAAAGTCTGAAAGACATGTCACGCACACAGCAAACATCAGCAAATATCCTCTTGCAAATCCGGGCGGCCTCCGGTGACATCTTGGGGTCGGCCATAGCCAGTTTCAGCAAGACCTCGTCAATGGCTTTGTGCCCTTTCAAGACCTTCGCCGAAAACGTCACGACCTCCACCAGGTAGTCGGGGGCCTGCCTGAGCCACTCCAGGCACGAAGCTTGCTGCAGTTCGAGACCGGACTTCAAGAAGGTCTGCATGGAGGAGAAAGCCTCGCCGAAGGCCTTGNNGTCCGCACCGAACTTCTTCACCTGGTACAGGACCAACCTCCGCTTGAGGAGGTACATGGAGACAATAGACCCGAGCAGTTGTCCTCCCACGTTCGGGTCCAGAGAGCCCTTGATGATGTCCTCTCTCAAAGACTGCAAGACCCACATCAGAAGACCATTTTCAAGTGTGCTGTTCTTGGGGATTGAGGTTCGGGAGCACAGCAAGTCCAGATTCGTATGCCCGGACAGGCAGTGCTCGGTTTGGAACTTGCTGTCGAGCTCGGCCACGATGAGTGGGCCCTCCGGCGAGACCGTCGCAAACCTCCTTGCAATGCGAAGCATCGCCCGGATCGTCTTCTCCGACATCTGCTGGAGGTTGCCAGCGCGAAACCACTTCTCGATGTCGCCGGCGGAGGAAGACTTGCCAGACCTTTGCAAGAGACGCTCGACTTCTTGCACGGCCTGTGCTCTTCGGAGACCAACCAGCGTCTGCACCTGAGACCCGGTGAAAGCATCCTGGCAAAGCTGCCATTTCCGCCGCTCAAAGTGTTCATCACCAGGTAGGTACTCGTAGCGGACACGGAAGCATCTGCAGCCTTTCTCAAAGTCGCTCGTACTGAGACCGAGCTGCTGCTTCTGAGACCAAGCCACAAGGAAGCTGACGCCTTGGATGCTCTCGCCCGCAGAGGACAAGCGTATGCTACAAGAGACCAATATATACTATCATAAACCCAATCCTGGTCCCAGTGGCGGTAGGCATCATGGTTGACAGTGTCATGCTCCAAGGGCTTTGGCCGCTCCGACATACTCTTGGAACGGATCACCACTGCATCAGACCACGAGGAGAAGCCCAAGGAGCCATCGTCCGCAGTCCAGTGCGTGGAGACCATCTTTTCGATAGCGCCTCAGATTGAACACGAGTATTTCAGGACTATATTATTGAATAGAATTTTATGGAAACCGTGGCTGAGTCATCAGGGTTGGTGGACTGGACCAGGTTGAGAATGAGATACTATTGAGACTCTGTATTAGAAGACGGTCACGTGCCGACTTCCGTGTTTCTCGTCTGATGTTGCAGTCAAGATGCCTACCGTCGGAAGAAGGGATCGGTGGCAGAAAGCAAGGAGCTCCACGTCCGAAAAGCATACCAAGCATTCGTAAGACCCACACCTCTTCATCTCCTTCTTATAGGAGTCCGCATCATAGCACGAGAGACCTCCGAGTTCCTCAAGCGGCCCCTTGTCGGTGTTGACCTGACAATATCCAAACACATTTCTGCTTATTATGGGCCAGCATGAGTACAAAAGACGGCTAAAGTCTCAGATCCGGCCTTCAGAGGTTTGCTCAGGGCAGCCTGGCACTCTTTGAGGAGGGCGATGGTGGGGTGCATCTCCAAAGACCCATCGAGCTTCTCCTCAGCCGATTTGGCCTTGGCAGCCGCCTTCTTCTTCGGGGCCGAGGGCTCGGATGCGCCACCACGCTTGCCCATTGGGTCTAAGGCACTTAAAAAGACCCAAGCAGACTAAAGATCTGAATCTCACTCTGAGACCTGAAAAGCCGCGCGGTTTGAGACGCCTCAAGCTGGCCATGCCATCTCTGGATTGCTTTGCATGTGTCGCACTGGCACCTGAACACAGCAGAGGGGAATTCTATGAAGCGTGTCGGATTCAAGGATAATTCAGTTTTTGCGTTTTAGCCAGAATCCCGTCTCTGAGATATGTCGCCAAATGAAACCGACTGTCTCAGAGATGGCCGGTACCGGCCATCTCTGAGAACATGGGTTTTCCCTTGCGGAGACTAGTCTGGTGACCCGGGATGGTTTCAGAGATGGAGTGTCTACGGTATGCCCCCCAGTGACAAAGCAACTATCTCAGAGATGGCCGGTACCGGCCATCTCTGAGATGATCGGTTTGATTTGCAAGCGGATTTCAGAGATGGGCTTGGCGTAAAAACTTTTTTTCCGGCAATGTAGCCTCAGCGGTTCGTGTCCACAATGCACAACGTTTGGGGCTTCTGCTCTAACGTTGGGCGCAAAGATAAGCAGCTAACAAAATCATGCCAGAAACAACTGGCACAGGCACTGCTTCCGAGACCATTGAAGCCTTCACAGAGGCCGGCCTCACAAGATTCAAGAGCACGGTTTCCAGCTCATATCCGAGACTTCCGAGCCTTTCCTCGGGAAAGACCAGGCGGACACTATCCTCACGACCCATGCACAGCAAATCAGCAGAGGCCTTGGGGTTTGGCGGCAAGACCCCCTGCAAGACCTCGACGTTCTTGAAGCTGCAGCTGCCACCGACCTCCACCAGCAAAGGGCACGGCAATCGGCCATTCATCTTGACGATAGCCACGGCCCGCTCCTGCAAGATCAGCGAGTGCACGAAGAGGTTCGGGTTGCGCTTCCACAGAGCATTGAAGGACTCCTGCAGACGGGGATTCATCTTTGTGCACCGCAAAACCCCGTTCCCGACGGCCATGGAGATCAGCTCGGACTCCGTCTTCTTCTTCTTCTTCGGC